TAGTAGCTTAGTTAAATTAATTATTTTTCCAGCAATAGGCCTATATAAATTGAGAGATTTTACAGCAACACACATGTAATCAATTCTAACCCATACAGTGGTGGCAAAGTTACTAAGTACATTAACACAAATCCTACTAATAAAACATGATGATGACTTCACCAGCTGTAGCATTAAAAGATTAACACAGTATATGTAGGCTATCATACGGAAGATGAGAACGGCCATGTATTTTTTTTGTGTGTGCACTGTTATCTCGTGATAACGACTTATTATTTTGTTATATCGCTGGGGCGATTATTTCCTCATTCATTGCCTCAAGGAGGGACAGCCCTGCCGGCTGAGGGACTGTTTGCGCTTTTACGCACGGGTCGGTGGTGAAGTGGCGCACATGACTCATGCTACGGACGGACGGACGGACGGACAGACAACCACGTATCTAAAACAGGTAATACATCTGGCTACATCTTTCCCACATCAAAGATCCGTGATCACCTACACCTGCGTGCGTAAAAGCGCACACAATTCCGTGTTCTCTCACCGCGGATGCTGTGATTTGATAGCCCGGTACTCATTGTAGCCCACTCTTATAAGACCCAATAATAATAATAAGAAGAAGAAGAAGAAGAAGAAGAAGAAGTAGCTACTGTGGACCTATATGCCATGCCTTTTAATTAAATTACCAGAGGAGTTCGCTGAAAAGCAGGTAATGTCAGCCTAAATTACTCGCGTGCGTCCCCGGTGAAAATTGGCGTGCCCGGCGTCTAACCTAAAATAGGCCTGGAACCGGTCTCCATCTCATCCAAACATAATATGAGCGCAAGCATCTTTCGGTTGGTGCTCATTGTGAAAGAAATGTCAAACTATAGATAAAAAACAAAGAGGCGATGCTGCAAAAACTGCGCGGCTACAGGAATTGTCAAGATATTGTTCATAGAAACGAAAACCCTCGTGAGCATTTTTTTGGGGCGCACAGACGTTTCATCCCAGCGCTCCGCAGCGCCCTTCCAGCGCCTTTCTGACAGAAAAGGCGCTATGTGGACACAGGCCCTTATGGTGTAAGCCTGAAGAACCACTTCCACTGTAAAGAGATATTCTGGTTAAGAATAAACCTTGAAAATGTGATTTTATTTCAGTATGGTGGGGTCATGTGAAAGGAGTTTGTGGTCTTCTCATTTTTTTTTTTTGTGGTGTTCTTATTAATGAATTTGGGAACTCTTGCTTTACAGTTTTACAAAGGTATGATGCTACTGTGTATGGTAGAACATTTTTAAAAGGTTTTTCAACAGCTCTAGTCGTGGCCCTACAGTACAATTGTACAAGATTTTCAGAGGAATGACCTTTTTATAGAGTCCCAAATGGACAGAGAGACTGTTGGGAGAAAGTCTTGTCTTTTCTTTTTTCACCTCCAAAGGTAGACATACTTCAGTCTTAGTGTCATGAGAAGTTTTCATGAGGTTCACCTATTGGTTTGTGGACTGCTATATATTGAAGTCTCGAATCTGGCATTTTTGCCATTGCCATCTTGGATTTTTGAAGCCAAGATGACCATATTTGGATGAGATTGTGGAGATAAGCCTAACACTACCTGCTAGCTTGGTTACCACATTGCATTTACAGGTATGGTTAACTGTGACAATGCTAATGCTATTTTTTGCTAGTGAAAAACAGGCTAAAAGAACATTAAAACAAAATGTATTTACCAGAAAATCTCAGTATCTGACTCTTAGAGGATCTGTAAGTACAACCAAAGTACAACAAGATGTTTTTAGGTGACCAAAACATCAACCATACAATTTACTTTTATAAACTTGCCTATACTCTCTGAATCTGGGGTTACAGCATGATTACATTACCAAACCAGTGTTGTCATGCTGACATTAGAGTTGATGGCACCTACCTGTCATTCAAGCAGCCACACCCTTAATTATGCATAACTTTAAGCCTTAAAAACATTTAAATGGGTGGATCATACAGAAATTCACCTCTGTACAGTTTGAACGAGAAAATTGTCTGTAAACACCAAAACTGTTTTTGTACCAGACTATAAACATGTTTGTTTCTGCTGTCAATTTTGGGCATTTTAACATGGGGGTCTATGTCGATTGTGTTGCTTTTTGAGCCAGCCTCAAAAGGCCACTAGAGGAAATGCAATTTTCGGTTCACATTGTTTTACTTTCCAGCCGTAAAGTTTGCCACTTGGTTACAACCAGAGTTTGACTGTCAGGATTTTCAAACATGGAGTGTACAAATAACAGTACTTGGAACTGACACTGGGAAGAGATAAATATGTAGAGAAAATGGTGATTTTCATATTTACTTGCTAAAGAGGACCAAGGAATTATTGTGATGGATTGGAAGTCAACTTAAAATTACATTCTCAATTGAATTGAATTCATTTAGCAATCAGTGCTTAATGAACTCAGTTCCTCCACAGAGCTATAGGAGCTGTCATGTAAGTAATCTTGTTCTTCCTTTTCCTGCGCAGGCCCAGACTGAATGCCTCCTCTTCCTGTGAGATAAAGTGAAGAGGTTCTGATTCTATCTGCACCTGATCTGTTCGTGATTCTGTTGTAATCCATCTGAATCCAGATGATGGAGCACTTGCTATGTCTGCTGGTCCTCAGCTTAGTAGCCCTGAGGGAAGCTGTCGGTAAGTTCCACTTTAAAACACTAATGATGCATGTTCAATGGGGGTTTTCAGACTGATTGCAGAAACAGTGTTGGTGTTAATGATTACATTAGAACTAGGCCTAATTTTAGCCAATGGAGGAGTTAAAGGGATAGTGCACCCAAAAATGAAAATTCAGCCATTATCTACTCACCCATATGCTGATGGAGGCCCTGGTGAAGTTTTAGAGTCCTCATATCCCTTGCGGAGATCGGCGGGGGGAGCGGCTAGCACACCTAATGGCTGATGGCGCCCCAGACTAACGTCCGAGAGCACAAAATTGAAACAACAAAATATCTCCAACATGCTCATCCGTAGTGATCCAAGTGTGCTGCAGCCCTGACATAAGAAGTTGTTTGGAAAAATGTCATTTGAACTCTGTTTTTAGCCTCACTGTAGCCTGTAGCTCTGACTGCTTCTCTGTGCTCCGCGCTCACGTGTCAAGGATAAACAATGGGCCAGACAGACTGCATTTTGACAAATGTCTCAAGTACAAGGCAAAGCTTGTTATACATATACACTGTATAGGTTCAAATAAGAGAGATCAAATTTAATTTTTTTTTCGTACATTTGAACTGCGGTTTAAATTTCTACTAAATGTGACAGTCCTAGTCAGTTGATGCTAAATGGTGTGGTTTATATTCTTCAGTTCTTCAACAATTGCTATATTTCCACTGCATGGAAAGGCACAGCTATACTCAACTCGATTTGCTCTTTTTATGCCTCCATGATGGTGCTGGCCATGGCCAGAGGCATTATGATTTTGGGTTGTCTTTCCGTCCTTTTCTTGTGAATGCGATATCTCAAATTTGGTACAAATGTTCACTTGGACTCAACAATGAGCTGATTAGATCTAGTTTGGTATCCCAAAAATTGTGGATGGTACCTGGTACATTTTTTTTAGTATCACCGCGGGCCCACGCTGAGCCAATCATAAAAGGTGGAGTTAATACACTACAGACCACTGATTGGTCAACGGGAGAATCCTCACTAGCGACAACACAGGACATTCTGCACACACCCGCCTATTTTAATGGGGACCACAATTTCTTATTACCTTCAACTCAGATTTTTTTAAAAAAATGGCAGCTTGTAGAACTATGCATTACAACATGCTGTACAGTTGTTGCTGATGAAAGAATTCAGTGAGCGCTGTGTTGAAGACTATGTCACGGCACTTTCACGTGGCATTGCTATGGTGATCAGCTGGGAATCCTACCTACACTGAGAGGATACTACCTTCACTGAGGGGATACTATCTGCAGTGGAGAATGAAATACAGGAAAGGACCTGGTACCAAAAGTGAGTTGAGTCGAGTCAAGTAGAGCTGTACCACACAGTGGAAATACATATAATACTAGCAAAATGCTGTTCGTCCAGTTACTGGAGCAATTGTTATTTGCAGGGTCAACTGTGAACCTGCCCACTCAAAGAGTTGGAGACTGAAGGAGAATTTCTGTTGAAAACACAGAGCTTTTTTATACATTCTTTGAATAATGAAAGAATAATAATAGCACAATCAAAACTCAAAACACTTTTTAACGACTTTTGACCACAAAACAGAATTAGAATTAGTAATAGCTGTGAGGTGAAGTTAAAAATACTCTCTCTCATTTTTCTTTAGCACCAAAGAGTGCCCCTAAATTCTCAGATGTCCTCCTGGCTCACTGTTATGGTGAATCTCAAAACAGTTCACGGAACTATTGGAAAGTATTAATGGCTGGGAAACATCTTCAAAAATAGTTTAAACAGTTAACTTGCCAAAGTATTTGTGTCTTCGTGTGTGTGAGAGAATGAGTTTAATGTGTGGATGCGGCTCATTTTGGGGCCTTTCGGGTCTGATTAAAATTTCATGATTGTTGTCTTAAGCAGTACGGGATTAGTTTTACATGGGCACGTGGGGTAATGTCACTTCACCACAGGACGTCAGTAATATTAATGTCCGATTCACACGGGATAGGAAATATCAGTAAAACTACCACAAGTGGGAGGGGTAAATCCATTCACGCACCGCCGTCCCCTCCTGTTGTCATGTGCGTATGATAGGACTGTCAAAAGCACCATGAAATTGAGTTCAAATATTTTCGAATAAATTTAGTAAAGTTCGAACAATATTAGAATTTATTATTATTATTATTATTTATTTTATTTTATTATTTTTTTTACAAAAAAAACAAAAAATAAGATGCTTATTGCGGATCAACATCTGCCTTGTTATCTGAGCAATGTTTGGATACTTTAGTGCGTAGTTTTCCACCACAACAGTGGATCCTGGCCAGCTCGTAGTGGTGTCTCATTCTGGTAACGTTTCATCTCTTCTTCAAAAAGGGTAGGCAGGGAGGCAGCAGGTGCAACACTCTCCCTGTATGTCTCCCCGAACAGGTCACACATCGCGGACAGTGCAGTGGGTGGTGTTGGCACGGAGGCTCCTCCGTCTGCGCCTCTCCCTCCATCGCTGCGTCCCTCTCTGGCCCGGCTTGTGCGCGAGCCATTTCTGCCCGAATGGGATTTGCCGTGATATACAACATTGATAGTATTAATTAATTATTAATGATATTCGAATTATCAAATTTATGTTAGAACTTATAAAAAAATATATAGGCTATATTCGAATATATTTCTAACTAACACACATATTTACTGCTGGTCTATTCGCACGGGATTAGTATTACCTGAGGTAATTGTCCAGGACCCTTTTACAGAAGGTAAAAGTCGTAGTAATCTTTACTGACATTGTGCGGTAATGATTACTGACAAGGCACACTCAGACGGGACTAAAATCTCTGGTAAGTATTACCTTACCCCACGTACCTATGTAAAACTAATCCTGTCCGAATAGGGCTTTAGACAGCAAAGGGAGGGGATGCATTTCTCCAGCAGGCCTTAGTGTTGAATTAATGCACCAGTGTGATGAATGATACAGGTAGATAATGACTGGGTGCAGCCCATGAAAGAGCTCTGTCAGTGAAAAGCAGAAAAAATACTGTTGAGATATGAATCAGCTTCATCTGTGCACACTGTTTCATTTGCACTACACGAATTGAAAGTTGGATGCAGGTAATAAACCTCGAAATCAATTTTACCAAAAAACAGCTGCAGCTCTCATTTGGCCTCACAATGTAGATGACATAGTGTCTAACTAAAATAGAAAGATGGCAAGGAAGTGAGACACTGTTGTCTCAAAGATATGTTAAAATGGGTGTGTGCACTGATAAAGCGATACACTCGCTGGGGAAAAAACTATGCTCTGCACAATTTTTTTTTGTCCTGTGGCAAAAAGCCAGGTGAATATTTGAAGGAAGTTTTTCAGATTTTGGCTTCCTGTTAAAATCAGTACTCATTATACCTGACACTGGACAAGCTAATTTGGAGACACACAAGGCTTGAACTGAAGGATGGAAGGTTTCCAGCCACCTGTTTCAAAATAGTGCAACAGTGTTTCCCACAGGATTTTTGGAGACTATTTGGGGCGGGAANTGAATTCTGAGAGCCAAGTTATGATGGCAGAATATGCCTAGATTTCAACATCTTTGTGCCTTTTATGTGTGAAAAATGTTCTATTTTTACTGATAAAAACACTAGTGGTATGTTATGGTGAAGGGTTACACTTAAAATACGGCTAAGGATTAGTGGTTAAACATTTCAGTAATCAAAAGAAAAATGACTAACCTACTGATCTGCCTCTGGAGGGCTATTTTATTATTTTCTATCATGTGCAAACAAAATATTCTTTTAAAACTCTCTCTCTCACACACACACTCACAAACACAGTTACAGATACGCAAAACAATACAAAATACACAATACGAAAAGAAAACAAAAGGCAAGACTCAAATTATTTACACACAAACAGACACAAATTACTGCTTTCCTCCTTCCCTCCCTCCCCCTCCCTCCCTCATGATTTGCAAGTATGGTACCCTGAATCAGAGCATTTAAGTTTACGTGGCTTCGAAAAGAAGATTTCAAAAGCTCTCTGGTAGTTGAATGCCTCTGGGACAAGCCCATTTATGGCAACCCTACTAGAATGGGAGCATATCTGCTACGCAGTGCTGTGCGGCGCAGACACATTGACATTATCACATTATTATCACATTGAATTATGCCTTAAAATTCAGTCCAACCTGGCTGGTAAAGTTTTGTATTTTAAGAAAAGATTTTATGAAGGCTGATGGAAAACTATTTTCTTCTTCCTCTAGTTTTACCTACAGTATAAGTACAGCTTCCACCCATTGTTACATGGCTCTGCCCCTCCATAGCATCAAAAGAAAAACAAAATTAAACCTAGTTGATAGGTAGCTTACCTTTAAGAGTACTTCATATCTTTTAAACTTATTGTGTGTTTTGCATGTAAATTTTTAATCTCTTAAGTAATAGTATCTATGTCAGTCAACTAAATGTACTGTAGTTGAGCACCATATTGTCTTATGTAATGAAATAGAAATGTAATGAAGTAGAAATATAAAGAATAATAATATGGATATTACCAAGTAAAATACAAGAATCTCTCAACTGTACATTAGTTCAGTGCTGGAGTAAATGTACTTTCCAACAGGGGTGGGCGTAATGGCACTAAAATAATATGATATTTTAGGGTATTTTTGTGATGACAATATTCTTGACGGTATGACACATTAGTAAAAAAAATATCTTATTAATAAAGAACATAGAATTGCAACAAAATACGTAATATAGTTTTACATGTCAACCAAACAGTTTGCCTTAAAATATTCAGTAAAAACTAAAGATTTTTTTTCTCTCATTTCTTTAGTTTGTAAACAACACTCAGAGTGAGATTCAGATTCTGTATACAATATTACCGGTAATAGTACAACAAAATAAAATCTACCACAAATTACACATTTAAACAGCTCCAAAATACAAAAGATGTACCCTGGGATCTACAATTAAACAGGCGATTTCCTCCTTTCAGCAAAATCCTAAATGATTGAGCTGTTTTTTTTTTCCACCTGGACCTTTAT